CAAACATTAAGCAAGTGAAAATTAATTTCTCAATACTTTTAATTCCTGTTGGAATTTGAATATTGATGTCCACTGGAAATAATTTATATATCAGACAGTAGAATGCTTTGTTAATCCTCTTATCTTCATCAACTAGTCTGGTAGTCAATGCCCTATAGCGCAAAATACCCAAAATGAAAATATCATTTCGTCATATATTCACACTCTATTTGTCCTCACTCCACCTAGTAGCGCTGAATTTTAGCGTCGAAAATGGTAAGTCAATTCCAGCCCATGTTGTTCAATTAAAATAATTGCATCCCCATGACATTAAATAGGACCAATCCTTGCCTTTGTACTTTAGCTCTCACATTCTCTTTAGCCAACTTGTTTCACAATGGGAACTTACCGGCCAGAATCACCACCGTACCCCGCCGGAGTCGCCGATGACGACGAATCACCGATTGAAGAAGTCCGGTTAACGGTGACCAACACCGATGACCCGACCCTACCCGTATGGACATTTAGAATGTGGTTTTTGGGCCTTTTCTCTTGTTGTTTACTCTCTTTTCTCAACCAATTTTTCTCATACCGAACGGAGCCATTAGTCATCACACAAATCACAGTTCAAGTAGCAACTCTTCCAATTGGTCACTTCTTAGCTACCGTTTTGCCGACGACAAAGTTTCGGTTACCTGGATTCGGATCCAGATTGTTTTCACTGAATCCTGGCCCGTTTAACATGAAAGAGCATGTGCTTATTTCTATATTTGCAAATGCTGGAAGTGCTTTTGGAAATGGTTCAGCTTATGCCGTTGGAATTGTGACCATTATCAAAGCTTTTTATCACAGGAATATATCATTTTTAGCTGGTTGGCTTCTTATTATTACTACTCAGGTAAGAATTTTCACATTATCCATATATTCTTACGTGACATGCAAAAAATTGGAGCTAGGATTTGAAGTTCGAGATTATAATCATTTTAAGTTATTGGGTTCTAAATTAATATTTTGTACATATTTATTGAATTTCTTAATACAAACACATGGTTCGAACAAAAACGACTGGGTTCGGCCGAACCCGCAAATATCATTGTGGCTCCGCCCGTGAATATACTCTTGACGGGTTACATTACCCGAATAGTGTTAAAAATGTTGGTATAACATCAGTGGCAGACGCACACGGTGGATATCTGGTTCAACTGAACCCGCTTCGTCAAAAAATAATATTGTGTATATGTATAAATTACGATTAAAGCTGAATAAATTTTGTATAAATATTTTATTTGAACTCACTTGACAACTACTATTTTACGATTAAAATTATATTTTTATAATATTGAACCCGCTTGCACAAAAACATGGGTCCACAACTATATATATATATATCATAAGTAAGCTCATATTAAATGGGAAGTGTAACAATTTACGTAAATTAGTGAGTTCGTAATTTGTCGTTTTGCAGGTTTTGGGATATGGTTGGGCTGGGCTTTTAAGGAAGTACGTAGTAGAGCCTGCGCACATGTGGTGGCCCAGTACTCTGGTTCAAGTTTCACTTTTCCGGTAATGTGATTTTTTTATTTGATGAGTTCCATTTTACTACTTTTCTATTTTGGGGTATTTCTGAAGCAGTAGAACAGGATTAGTTCAATAGATTAGTCCTCAAATATAGGAGAACAGCTATTTTAATTAGATCCTAATTTAATAGAAACTGCTTGTTTATTTACGTCTTCAAACTTATTTAACTAGTACTAATTGCACAGTGAGTAGGTTATCACCTGCGAGTTTCTCTCGAAATATTCCAAAAAATAGACTTCGATTTGACACCTTTAACTAACATCTCAAATTGACTTATTCACTATACCTTTTTTCTTGTCAATCGTGCTTCCGTTTGATCCCTCTCCTTACACAAAAAAAATCTCGTTCACAATGCTCTATAAACTAAATAACTCAAGTCAAACTTTTCTTAGATCTACTCTAGTCTAAAAAGGTTATTATCTAAATAAGAAGGGATAGCTGATTCTACAGTTGCTACACCATGTGCTATCAATACTTTGAGCATGTTATATTTGCTGCTACATTATAACACTTTAAAAAACACAACTCTCAAGGAAAATGATCAATAATTATTTTTTATTTAAATAAGACAAATGATGGACAGCTTATGGTTCCCTAGTAAGACCCTAATAGATCCTGCCGACGGCCGACCCCAAAGTGGCATGGAACTCAAAACAACGGCACACACCGAAAATTTTGCTTTTTCCTCTGGAAATAATATACATATTTTTGTTCTTCCTCACTATCTATTCAAAATAATTTAATTAAATTCTTGATATGCAACAACTTATAATTCTTTGCACAAGTAGCATAATGCAAGATATGAGAACACATCCCCATAGCTGCATTTTGGTCCCCCAATTATTGATAAACTAGTCAAATAGATCGCGCGGCGAGACATATTTTTAAAAAATTTGCCGATATGGAAGGAATAACTTTTTAAAATACAAAAGATAACTAAAAATATATATAATTAAGACATACATATGAAATAATTTGAAATGGATCATATAAGGAAAATATAAAATAGAAAAATTCAAAGAAAAGTTTCGCATACCTTAATTAGAGAGAAGTTAATTAATAGTAACTCATAAAAGATATGTAATGTAAGTTCTCTTGACTTTCCTCTCTATTTAGACGATAGAAAATAATATTATTATTGCAAGTAATAATATATAGTACTCAATTGTGACTGTATTTAGAGGTCATTAATGTTAATCATAATTACAGACTTTTGGTCTTACATAAGTCTTCTCTTCTTCTATTCATATTTAAATGTTGCTCATAAAAATATTAATAATCTTGATTCTCCAATTTTTATTAGTAACTACTCTTTTAAACTTTTGAAAATTTTAAAATAAGAAAAATGAAAATGAGGAAAACTAAAAGAAAAGAAATCTTAGAAGAAAGTGGGTTTTTTTGGGGGAGGGGGGGCAAAATATTTTGTTTTTCGGATAATTCCTGAAAATTGTAACGATTAAAAAGCAAAAGCAAATACTAATGATGAAAGGGATGGAGTATATACCAAAATCACAGTTATGCACTAAAGAATTTCCTTATATGTTATTGGAAAGATTAAAAAGTTCTAATCAATCACTCAAAATAAAAACATATAATACTATTTACTTAATCCTTTTCTCCGTATCTTCCCAAAAATCATTGACACCCCACGTACATGACTCCAAATTACTTTTTGCATCTAATTCACCTCTGAAAGTCAATTTCATCGCAAAAACTTGACAATACATCATCCATTAACGGAGAAAACCGAAAATAGAAAAAATCCTTAAGAAAACATTGATTCATTAATGGAAAAATGATATTTAGCAAAAACTCATTTTGATCATTTTGGTAATTGTAGTACCACTACGAACAACATTGTTATAATTGTACCAGAGACATTATTATTATTGTGCCTCAAAACAGAGGTAGGAAACAGAAACTTTCCGATCTCATGATCTAAAAGTGAATATCAACTATATTAGCTTCTTTAGCAGTTTCAAAAGTTCAAACCAAATTCAAGTTTTCTAAACTGGATCTTGAATCCATGTCTCTACCTAAAACAACAAAATTTCTAAACATTCTCGCTTTTCTTTCAAATCCATCTTGTGCTTGTTCAAATTTGATAATTTCTCCACATTCCCACAAAACGCTTTTTTTTTTTTTTTTCAAACGTAATTTTGTGTATCATATTTTCTTTATTCGTCTTCTCTTCATCACTGCCATCATCGGAAGGATCGATAGCATCACAACCAGTGTAACAAATCCGACCAACTTTTGACATGTAGGAAGTTTCAACCTAATTCATTATGACGGTGAGGGAGGAAAGGGTGATATGTATGATATTCTTGAGAAAATAAATTAAAGGGCCAAAGAACAATGCGTAACCGAAGCCTTCCACCGAATAGGAAAATGTCCAGCAATAACCTTGTCATCGGCTCTTGTGTAACTAAAAGAGCGCCATGTCTTGCAGCCATTGTCCCTGTTGTTGCAGAGCCAACAGTCTGCAGCATCTCCAAGCCATTGTCATAACCGTCGTCAATGAAGCCAGTGAGGAGCTTCAATAAATCACCAAATGTAATAGAATGAATGGAGAGGAAAAGATCAATTCAGCGTCGTTGTCCTATGGGTTTAATTCTCAAATTGGGTATATTAGATTAGTTTGAAGAGGAGTGATGTACAGTGAGGGAACAAAAGAGTTTGCACCTTCTTAAACATCTTTTAGAAATAGTTGTGTCTATAGTTGTGACTCTTCACATGTACGGTGCGGGAACAAAAGAATTTGCACCTTCTTAGACATCGTTTAGGAACATTTGTGACTATAATTGTGACCCTTGACATGTCATTTTTTTTTAAAAAAGACTCTTGGATTTTCATACTAAGAAAATAGATGAAACAGGCAAAAAAAGGACAAAAAAGAGGAGTAAATAGACTTCCTAGTTGTTAAGAGATGCCACATCACTCCTTCATGTCCCTCCTTTAGATTAATATATAGATTTTATTTTTGATCCTTATTTAACCAACACAATTAATCTTCATTAATCAAAATGTGCCTTTTATACTCTTTATGTAGGGGGTATGTTTCAGACTATATTTAGAATCATACTACACTCAGAGATGGAGTAACATTATTTAACATGACACATGGATAGCTAAATGGTAACAGTTGGAGTAATATTTTTCTTAAATTTCTGGAGATTCATAAGGGGAAGGATATGCACATTCCAATCAATTGAAGCTTATTTTGTTCGACAAGATAGCACAAGATCAACATCGAAATTCGTCAATAACTGAGGGACTAAAAATACAAAATATTTGCTGGTCCTGTAAAAGATAGCTAAAGAGTCTCTTTTCCAGGTAGAGTACTATAATCAACACAATCAACACACTTGCAACGTATCAGGAAAACCAGAATCTGAGAATAACTGATGGATGACAAACCAAACAGGAAACAACTTACAGGCTACTAAGAAAATGGGGTGGCGCATGTTAAAGAGAGAATTTTACATTTGTACATTGAATATTTTCATAGTACTCACAGTTTGCTGTTAGTAGAATTAAACTTTTTCACAATGTGTTAGATTTACAAACCTATGCATACTGAAAATTTTGCATGATAATATTTCAATAGTGGAAAGGAACTTCGGACGAAATCTGAAGCCATCCCTTTACCTTCACTGTTGAGCGCCAATCGATAACCAAGATGGTTCACCTGCTGACATCTCTAAGCTGTATTAGAAGATTAAAATAGGCTCCCAAATTCAAGTCATTCTGGGATCAGAAAAAGACAGTCCAATTTAGCTCTAGTCTAACTCCATTATTTTGCATGATTGGAGCAAAGTACCGGGAGAAATAACCACATTGATTCCCTTGAATGGTATAGCACATATTTAGCAATGACCTCAATAATCCATTTTAAAATCCTACCTGAATCATAAAAACAAGTCAAACATCTGCAAGTTTCACAAATTCATCTTCTTGATAAATATCATGCAATTAGAAACAAGAACACAGCCTTTCTTTTTGTAGGATGGATTATTGTAGTCATACTTATATACAGTTAAAGCTATAAGAATCTCCCACCTGGCTGTAATTTTTTTTTTTCTTGTGATAACGTACTCGCACATGCATGTAACTTAGTTTCTATCTACTGCTTATCGTGACAATAGCTGGAAAAGAATGTCTAGTATCTCTCTTCCCTGCACCCTCTTCGCAGGAATTTCTGACCAGACGAATCACAAATCCAATTTTTATTTTAAATTTCCCAAAATCATTTTGTAAGTTTCTATTCAACAACAACAACGTCACCTCAATCACAAGCAAGTTAAGGTCGGCTATATGAATCTTCATTATAAGTTTTCTGTTACTATTTCAAATTTTCTCGTTCATTTCAAGCTATCTGATGGTTTAAAAGCTTCTCCAGGTGCACTCTCATATAAAACAACTGAACTGCTTTTCTTTCTCAAACGGATCAAAGGTGCAGAAAATCATTAACACAGATTGATCTTTGCAGGGCCTTGCATGAGAAAGATGATCGGCGCATGTCACGAGCAAAATTTTTCCTCATTGCATTAGTATGCAGCTTTTGCTGGTATCTAGTACCAGGATATCTCTTCTCAACGCTCACGAGCATCTCATGGATCTGCTGGGCATTCTCCAAATCAGTGACAGCTCAGCAAATTGGATCAGGCATGAGGGGCCTTGGACTTGGAGCTATAACCCTGGATTGGTCTGCTGTGGCATCCTTCTTGTTCAGTCCCCTCATCTGCCCTTTCTTTGCCATTGTCAATGTCTTTGCAGGGTACATGTTGATAATATACATGGTGATCCCAATAGCATATTGGGGGTTTGACTTGTATGGTGCTAAAAAATTTCCCATTTTCTCGTCACACTTATTCACAGCACAAGGTCAGAAGTACGATATATCAGCCATCGTGAATGACAAGTTTGAGCTAGATATAGGGAAGTATGAGGAGCAAGGGCGGATACATATAAGCATGTTCTTTGCTCTCACTTACGGTTTTGGTTTTGCTACTATAGCATCCACTCTTACACACGTGGCATTGTTCTACGGAAGGTAAAACACACTCTAACTATATCAAGACACAGTACTACTGTTTTGTCAAATTTGCTCCTTATGTTTTACAACCTAGAGCCCAGACAAGGAAATTAAAATATACAAGTAATTTTTTAAATGAAATATACATGTTTTATCGTCCCAAAAGTTGATTTGTCAGTCTATTTTAAACTTGTCCAAACTTTTGACATCTCAACTGCTACATATTTACAGCTGTTTAGCAGCAACTTCCATAAATAAATGGAACTATGAATATGGATGAGAATTATTTGTTAATAACTACAACAGTCGTGGTAAAGGATTGTCTTTATTGTCTACTTGCAATTTGTAGGGAAATCTATGAAAGATTCCGCGCTTCATACAAGGGAAAGGAGGATATTCACACAAGACTTATGAGGAAATACAAAGACATACCTTCTTGGTGGTTTAATGCATTGCTTCTGGTGACACTCACAGTCTCCCTAATCCTCTGCATTTTCTTGAATAACCAAGTTCAGATGCCATGGTGGGGGCTTCTATTTGCAAGTGCTATTGCTTTTATCTTCACACTTCCAATCAGCATCATAACAGCTACAACAAACCAGGTGATAAATCACACACATTTACACCTATATTTAGACCACCAAGCATGTCTTTCCTATCAGATTGATTAGCATGCTTGAACTGCTAGTCTGTTATCCTGCAAAAGCTATTTACATCAACCTTCAAAAGAAATCTTACTGTAGATTTGTTGGAGCTTGTAGAAGCTGTAAACACTACTAAACGATTAACATTCACTCTTTGTTTAACATACCAATATGCATGCCCCAATCAGAATCTGATACCTTAAAACTAGTAGGATTTATTACAAGAACAAATCCAAGATCATCACCCTTGTTATTTCAATAGAGTTCTTTCCAAGCTTCTTATTTATGATGCTAATTTGCAGACCCCAGGCTTGAACATAATCACTGAATATGTCATGGGAATTATACTTCCAGGAAGACCAATAGCCAATGTGTGCTTCAAAGTCTATGGGTACATGAGTATGTCACAGGCTGTCTCTTTCCTCAGCGACTTCAAACTCGGCCACTACATGAAGATCCCACCTCGATCAATGTTCTTGGTTCAGGTAGATTCGCTTTACTGTTTCTGCCAATAAATTGGAAATACAGCAGTGATTAACTCAGAGCTTCTGGTATACAGTAGAGATTAGCACTGGCATTTTCCTAGGTAGAGAAACCACAATGAAGAAGCTTCTCGATGTCTTTAAGACATCCAGGATAATCACCAGCATTTTAATTCAGAAAGAAACAACATGCTTTACGTGCCAAGATATAAATGAGTGAACGAAATAAAAACATTAGATCACAGGATAGATGTATGGATGTTAAGATCACTTTCTATGGACCGTGTTTACATTTCCAAATCCATCATTCAAATCCCAATATCCTCCAACCCCAAACTTTTTTCTTAAAAAAAACACGGAAAGCACCAAAGGGCATTTACCTCACTTTTTAGTAGATTTTACTCCAATCAGATGCATGCTAAGTTATGTGTGCAATGCTCATTAAAAGCAGCTATAAAGGGTAGAATCAATAGAGCATACAAGTAAAACAAGTAATACAAAGTTAGGATTTCATAATCTATCAACATACACAAGAATTTAGCAGTTTATCTCTTTCATCTGGAATTATTGAGACACGTTACTTAACAGGCTTAGTCAATGTTTTCCAGCAACTAGAATAGCAGTGTTCCACAGTAAATTCCAGAGTAAAAGAATATTTTTCATTCTTGTACGTTAAATTTCAGTTTTTAGGAACAATAATTTCCGGAACTATCAACATATCTGTGGCGTGGTGGCTGCTAAACTCCATCGAGAACATATGTCAAGATGATCTCCTCCCACCAGACAGTCCATGGACATGCCCAGGAGATCGTGTGTTTTTTGATGCATCAGTTATCTGGGGTTTGGTCGGACCAAAAAGGATTTTTGGATCTCTTGGGAACTACAGCTCCATGAACTGGTTCTTCCTCGGAGGCGCAGTAGGACCTGTTATAGTGTGGCTCTTGCATAAAGTGTTTCCAACAAAATCATGGATTCCCCTGATTAACCTTCCAGTTCTTCTGGGAGCCACAGGTGCCATGCCACCAGCAACACCATTAAATTATAACGCATGGGTAATAGTCGGCACAATTTTCAACTTCTTCATATTCCGCTACCGAAAGCAATGGTGGCAAAGATACAACTATATCCTATCCGCGGCGCTGGATGCAGGAGTAGCTTTCATGGCAGTCCTACTATATTTCTCATTGGGAATGGAGAATAAAGGACTGACTTGGTGGGGTACTAATGGGGAACACTGCGAATTGGCAACTTGTCCCACAGCCAAAGGCATAGCTGTTGATGGGTGTCCAGCTAGATAACTGGATATATTTAGAACAATTTATATGTATTTAAGGGCCCAAAATTATCTCTATCTTCTCTTAAATAGTATTCAGAAGTTACACACTTAGATCTGGAAAATCATCATCACTTTAATGCATGTTCAGGTTCTCTGTACTATTTCTCCCACCTAAATTCTCTCTTGTAAGTAATGACATACATTCTTGGAGAAAAAAGAAAGTCAAAGCATTTGCCATGGAAGAAATTAAATGGTTCCCCATATGGCTTCTCCAATTTTGGTTATAGAAAAGAAATTCATGCACTTGCGATTTGCGAAGATACTCTCCGAGTCTGAAAGCCATTATGCACCCATCAGTCTGAAGTTGAAAGAGGAACACTACATGTGCACAAACACGGTAGTACTAGGGAGCTACCATAAGCAACTCAAAATTCACTAACAAGGTTTTACTGAAAGCAATTATGAATCCATTAGTCTAAAGTAGAGGAACAACTACCAGATGCATATAGACAGCCATGTGCTACCAAACATTATTTGGCAGCTCATTCCAATCATTAAAGGGCAGGAAGATACAGCACTGATAGGTAAGAATGGAAATCCTTTAAGAGTGAGATGAAGACAACACTACTTTTATTTCTTTGATAATTCCATGATTTCAACAGGTATGGAAAAGCCTAAGCAAAATGATTACACTGGGAGTGCATCTATCTCAAATAAACATTAAAAAGGAATGCCAACCTGGTATAATCTTGGTAATAATCTTGGTATAAGTTGGCTTAACTATGAAGAGGATGGGAATTCATATTGTACCCCACTCAAGATGAATGCACTGTGAGCCACTGGTTATACTCATCCATCCGAATTATAAATGAGCTGGAACTAGGAGAACCACCTCCACCATATGCCTGCATGTTAAAGAAGCAAAACATTTGTGGGTATGACAAGTAAAGAGTACGAGACTGTGTTTGTATGTAGGAGGGTGGCCGGGAAGAGCATAGCTGGCAGCATAATTTTCACAGTTAGTATAAGGAGTCGCTGTCTCGCTTAGTGGTGAGGAATATCTTCAAGATGAATAGAAGTGAATCATGATGCACACCTTGGCAACCTCTGAAGTATCAGTAGCTGCATCTACAGTCCTCAGACACATCTTGAGATTCTTCCGCTGAAGGTATATGACTGCTCCTATAGGCCTGGGGTATAAAAGATTTAAAGTAAATGCAGCTGTTCTATGTACAGAATTGAGGTAAAAGCATCAAATAACCTCAGATATGCTCTCCACATAAATAGTCATGAATGTGGATCATGAAGCTTTTAATTTTTGACTGAACTTGATATCTTTCTGGTTGGAAAAGAAAGAATTAAAAGGTCTCGCTGCCCATGCACCACGTTAAAGAAAAGAAAAAGATAAATAAACATAGAAACCTGAGTCCAGCTGCAGCGCTTTTCTTGCTTAGTTCCTTGCCAATTTCATCACTTAATTCTGAATTTCCATCAGCTCTAATCCCCTAAAAGATAAAACAGAATTTAGATACTCAACTTAGTCATCTTGAGAAGGGGAAACAAAAATTACAATTATAAACGACATAGATGTAGCATTGCTAAGCATGAATAACCTGGCATATGGAACACCTATAGAAGATTGAAACAAGTTAAGCAGACAACTGTACAACATGTTATGAAGAGCTGAAATTAAGTATTCTAAACCCTGACATACATTCAGCTGTGCTCTCATGGACTTCATAGTATATTGATTGTTATGGATTGAATTTGCCAACATAAAGAAAACGTCATAAAGAATTATTCTTTACCAAGCATTCACCATAAAGTCCTCTCCCCAGCTGAATTTTGAAAAACTTATCCAGCAACTTCTGTGCAGCAGCCAGTCTCTTTGAAATATGGGAGTTACCATTAGCAATTAAATCGCCAGTGGTAATCCCCATTAGCTGTTTTAGGAAGTAAAACAAAATTATTACTGTTATACTTTACCGAGGAAAGACATATTATGTGAACGGGAATGCAACATGAATTTATCTAGTTCATTCTCCATATGTGCAATAAAATAGAAAATCTACATAGCATCAAATGCGTACTTTACTATCTCCGGTAAAAGAAAAGGAAAAGAGGAAATCTTATTATACCAAAAGAGGCTACTGCATTGCACATATTGCTTTGAAAAAGGCCATATGGAAAAGCAAAATGTATGCAACCCTCATCAAATATGGCTCGGGGAGTACAACCATGAAAAATTGATTACCTCCTTGATATCATTTTGCAAGGGAAAAGAGACATACATCTAAGTTTAACCGGAAGGTATTATCCACAGGCGAACTTTAATCGCAAAGATTTACAGCTATTTAAGCAAATTTTTATCTCTTAGTTGTTGCACGTTTCACTCAATCCCAAAGAGAATTAACTGCGAACCTGTTCATACATATGTGGATTAGTGATGCAGTTCAGTTTTGAACGCCACTGGCTGATTCCAATACCAAAGGCTGTAATATCAGGCAAACTCCACCTGCGAAGATCTCCATTCTCAATATATTTCAGAACATTTTTAACTTGATCTTGAAAAGTATAGTTTAGCAAGCTGATAGCATCACCCTCCTGTGCATTAAACAAACACATATATCACCACTTTAGGAGCTAATCACTTTGAAAAACAATCTAACCCAAAATAAGTATTGTCGGTGAGCACACAACAGAATGTACCTTATTGGATCCAACCTCTGAAAGCCTAGAAGAGAAATGTTCATAGACAGCAATAGAACTAGATTTCTCAAGGTTGACATGAAATGCGAGACTCCCACCAGAACTTTGACTCATAGGGAGCTCCAAAAGTGCTGACTTCCGGTGATCAAACCCTACTATCCTAATTAAAATTTTAAAAAATAAATCACTTCATAGACCGTCTCCAACTTCCAGAACCACTATCAAAGTCAAAACCAACAGCGCAGCTACTCAGCTAGCATCTGAAGAAATCTGTATTTATTAAAAAAAGAAAAAAAGAAACTAACTGGCATGAGGTCCGACGAGCAAGCTCCACTGCAAATCCTTTAGGACCAACAAAATCAAGAAAGTAGCAATTCTGCAGCCCGTCAATACACAAGTCTTCAACTCTATCAAAAAAGAATTACAAACAAAGGACAAAATTACATGCTCAACCGCTGAGACGTGTTGAAATAAATAATAAAAGGAGACTCCTGGGTAAAATTACAGATTCGATTATCCTTTTAAACTATGAGCAAAAGCAAACTCCTGCTATTACTTGCAATTAAACCTGCCTGCAATGCAAATGACCTAGACCAAACAGCTTAGCTCAATTAATCAAACTCAATCAATTAGGCCTCAATCAAGAATTAGTTAGGATTGAATGCATGATTCCTCTTTATTCATTTTGCTCTGTTCAGGTAGTACCTAAATGATTCATCATAGTTAAACTAAATTTTAGGTCATTTTCCAGCATTCCTCTTCCTTTATTTCGTTTTTTTACTTACGACTAAGCCTTGTGAAGCTCACATATGCCGACTAGGTACCTGAAGGGTTCAACGGAAGAGAAAGGCAAGACGAGGTAAGGGAGGTTGAGACGAGAGTGAAAGAGGTGTGCGAAAAGCGCAGCAAAAGCTCCGGAGAATGAAGGATAATTGTAGAGTATGAGGTTTGGTATTTTGTCTTCCGATGCTTTAGCCAACGCTTTCAATGCTGCTTGTGACCTGAAGCACCGAATTAACGGCGGCGCAAAACCGTAACTCCGGTACCGGCAAATTGACAGTGCCATTACGCCGTCGCAAGAGCGGCTAATCTGTACTGAGATTGAGGAATTTTTTACCCGAAGGTGCACGTTTGGCTCAATAATTACGCGGAGTGTTTTGTTTTGGGTAAAAATCATGTACAGGCCCGACAAATCAAACTCATCATCAAACTTTAACGATTATCATTCTAAGGTAGCTTTTTAAAATACGTATTTTACCCTCTACAATATTTATCTCTTATTTTTATTCTTTAATATAATGATATTTTTTATTTTAATTTATGTCTTCAACTTACCCATAGACAAACTAAAAAAACTTTTTCGAAAAGAACGAGAAGCAGTAGTCAAGCATATCAGTTAAAAATATTTTATAGTAAAATAAATAAAAATAAATAAAAAGTTATAATAAATCATTTATGTGTATCGGTAATTCTATTAATAGCGGTCAAAACTCAATCTATTTACAATACTGAGAATAAAAAAGAGTAATTTTTTAATAAATTATACAATGCATGTAATAAAAAAGATAATGGGGTAAAATAGAGGTAAATTTTATAATAAATTTACAAAAATTATCTATATACACTTTACATAAACTTTAATTATAATTTAGAAAAAATCTAGTAATAACAATCAAAACTCAAAAATGTATATACACGTAGAGAATAATAAAAAGTAAAAATTAAAATCACACACACCTACATATGTTATATGCATTTTAATATACATAATATTAAAATAATAATAATAATAAAGTCGCAATATATTTTATAAAAAAATTATAATATAATTATTTTATTTATAATGTTAGTGAACTTAGATTAAATTATATAATATTTTTAACTTATGAATAAATACATGCATTAAAAATATCTAAAAAATATATTATATATATGGAGAGTTGAAAATATTAAGGGTAAAATAGACCTTGCGTAAGATAAAAAGATGAAAATGACAATTGTTTAAAGTTAGAAGATGAATTTTATTTTTAGAGTAAACTCAGGGATGTAAATGATTTTTCGCTTGCAGGTGTTATATAGTGAATATATATGTCGCGAATATATATGTCGCATTAACGGAAAATGGCCAAAATTGACCTTAAACTATACAAAATAGAGTAATAATGCGCTGTGTTTTCTAGCTTAAGAACCACATTTATAAAAAGTCTTTATAAAAAAGTGAATACAAGAACTACAAGGACATTAAAAGGTTCTCTATTAGAAAACATAGTATTTCTATCAACAAGTACATAATTGAGTGAACAAAAATGCACCTAATTACGAGAACATTCAAATATTGATTTAAATAGTATAAAATATTCAAATAAATCATAATCAAACAAAATGACACAAGACAATCTACAAAAGCAAACTTGGTAAAACAGAGTTCTTAAAAAAACGAAAACAGAGACATGAGTGCCATATATTTTGGCTACAGGCTCGTTAAGTGTTCATTTTCTTTTGCATGGAATTGGCTCCAATGGCCGCAAGAACCCTGGAGGAACTCCTGCACCGACAACTATCAGCAAATCTTCTATTTGCTCAGCAACGAGAGAGTGAGAAAGAGAGATGTTTTTAATCTAGTCAGTGGGGCTAGGCAGGGCTTTGTCCGAGCTGGAGCTTATTTCAGCATTTTTTTTTTAAAATCCTGTCAAATCTGAGTTGGAGGTCTGTTAGGGAAAATGGGTATATGTGCTCCATTTGACTAAGGGCAGGGATAATTTTGTGCCCAAAATCGAACGGAGGGCATTATTGCTCTTAGAGCTGTTCGTCGGTCGGTACGGTATGATATTTAGATATTTTGGTTCGGTATTTTCAATATTCGGTTTCGTAAAATGTTATACCAATACCGTACCTAATTAAATTCGGTATGGTTCGGTTTTTCTCCTTTCCATTTCGGTTTATTCGGTTCGGTAGCTTCGGTTTGAATACTAACTAGTGCATAGAGTCATAGACGGTAATATTCTTAATTAAAGTACTCAAAAGTACAAAACTAAAAACCTTTGTTGACAAGAGTTCTGTCAAAAAATGGCAAATACCAACCTAGATAGAAAAAACTTAGAGAAATATCTTGTTACTTGCTTAGAGTTAATTGATGAACTTAGAAAATAAAGGAAAGTAAAATTTTAAATTTCTTATATTTATGTTATAATTAATAAAATGTGTATTGTGTAATATAATATATATTTCGGTACGGTATCAGTATTTCGATATTTTATTTTAAAATATCAAATACCATACCTAATGCCAATTTTTTTTAAAAAAACTTAAACCAAATACCATACCGAATACCAAAATATGAATATCGAATACCAAAATTTTTAGTTTCCGTACGGTAATTCGATATTTACTAAATCATTCACAGCCCTGGTTGCTTTATTACCTATAATTCTAAGGGTATTTTTGGCCATTTTCCGTCGCCTTAAAAATGAGATGTACGATGAGATTTTATAATGACAAAAGAACCCCTTGCTGATGAGCAGAAAAAAAACCGTCCTTTTTTCTGCAATATTTTAATACCTCTGTCGAATTGATCCTCCAGATATTTTCTTCTCTCTCCTCCCTTCTTCCACTTTCTTCTACCAAATTTATTCATTCACAAATGCCACAGCGTCCAGAATGAGGCCATTCCTTGTTGTTTGTGTGTTCAACTAGCTCTCTTCTTGGGCACGACGTCGACGACAGGTACGGTTGTAAAATGTAAATTACATGCATTACACAGCAGCGATCTTTCATTTTTCTTGCTTTTGAATCTTCTTAATTTTTGTTTCTTCGTATGGGTGCTGAATTTCTTGCTTCATAACATGTTAACAAGCCCTCTTAGACAATCTATTTTTCTTCCTGTCTTTAGGGGTGTAGTCGGATCGGTTGTATTTTTTCATTTTTTTTAATGCTGGAGTATAATTCTTGTTTTGAAGATGGCACCTGTTGTTGCAAGTTGGATCTTTTTGTAGATGCAAGTAGTTTTTAGATAAAGAAGTCTATTAGTTTTGTTCTTGGATCCTAGTCATTGATTGTTGGAACGCTAATACTACCAGCAGCAAGACCAAACATCACGTTCTTTAAATTCACTGCTTTATTTTGAATAGCTTTTAATGATCATTGATATGGAGCTGTATTGGTTATGTTATTGCCCATATGACCACATAGTCATTTTTCCTATGCTAGTACATCTGATTCTGAATTAAAATCAGGGAGTGGTCCTATACTTTGCCTTTTCCTACTGAAATTGATTCTCTTGCTAATACATGTTGAACCAAAAGAAACTTAAAGAAGCTGAGATGTCATTTCTTTTCGTTTAATTGTAGTGCTTATTGCTTTATACGCTTTCTAGACTGTTGACCTTCAGCTAGGTTTCAGGATTATCAGCTTTTCTGCTCTTTATAGGAGTTATGTTAGGAAGCAAATGAGTTCAGGAACGTTATATATCTCGTGGAAAGCTGGGATATCCAACAATGATAGACAATTTTGTTGTTCTTGAAACCGTGAGCATGTCATGTTTGCATAGTTACTGATATATTTTAAGTTTTTTTTTCTATAGATTTATTGTCCCATGTTTCACATCATGGTATTAACATTTTCATTCTTTTCTAGCTTATCATGTTGAAGATATAAATTGCCTATCAGCTATTACTATATTTGCATCCATTGGCCAGTTAGATTATCATTAAAAGTCCAATTGAAAATTTGGAAAACTTTAAGACCTAAAGGAGGCGATGTATCGCACAGAAAGTATACATGATATATGCATAACTTTATGATTAATCACTCCTCCAAAGTCAAGGACTTCGGGAAACTTGTTTATTAACCACATTAAGCAACTACAGTCATACCTCTCTATAACAGCATCCCTATATAACAACACTTCTCTATAAAAGTCAAGCTTTTTCGGAACCAATTTTTATGTTATGTTATAATATATGTTCTCTATAACAGCACTTCGCTATAACATCCAAAAATATTCAGAACAAACGAGGCTGTTATAGCCTATAGAGAGGTTTGACTATACAACTAGTGGATAATCTTTAAGCTGCCAACACATGTTGTAGCAAGTACCCGCGAATATTAATTGATTTTTCAAGCTCCTTCTTAATCTTGATTAATGTGTTGGTGAGGAGGCCGACTATAGAGTTTTGCTTGTTTTCTCGATTTAATTTGGTGGTTAACATATCATGCAACTATAATGTGCAATGAATTGTTTTTGTTATTATGGTGGAGAAGAACAAGTCTGGTTAGCTGAAAGTGTACTTCAAATAGTCGTATAATTGTGAGTTAGAGGTTTGGGAGTGGTGGATGTTTGTCAAGTCCAAATTTAAATGAGTTCTAGATTTCTTCCAAGTGGATCAGATTGGGTGGTTTAAGCAGAGTTTAGGTCTACTAAAAGGTCACTTTATCAGTGCTGCAAACTCTTGCTTGAACATGAATCTTGAGGGCACCATCATGACCAATTACTTTTGGCTTCGTGAGTGGTCCTTTGCCTGAGCATTGAAAGGATGAGCTGTGGGAGGATGAGAGGTGGTTGTTTGTGTCCAGTGAATGGCAAGATATATTTGGCTCATACAACGTATAAGCATGAAGATTAACAGTTAAGAATAAACTGGTTTTATTGGAAAGAAATGTTGGGTGGAAAACACTATGTTGGGTAGGAAAACCCTAACTTCTCTTGCTCACAACTCTTTTATCCTTTTATCTTTTTTCCATTAACTTTTTCTTACTTCAATCTTGAGGCATTGTCGCCTTGGGGTCCGAGATGGTTGCTTTTATCACCGAACCTGAGATACGCAAGCTATAGGCGAGGTGGACTTTAAAGAAAGGCGGCAAAATGGAAAATTCTCTCGTTAGGTGGCAAATGCTGTCACTTCTCTTGTTTTAGTTTTAGTATATAAGAAAATAGTACATTTATTTTACCTCTTTACACTTATTTTCTCATAATACGAACATATTCCAAATTTGATTTGTTACATGATTAAATCAGTCAAGGCATCCTTGGAATCTGAGAAATCATGTGTAATTCTATGAGATGCTTAAATATTGACTAAATTAGGACCTGTGGGTTTTTTCTATTTCTTATTCAATTTGAGGTCAGAGCATTTCCAAATCTGGCGTATTCCTTTTGCAGAATTCTCGATTCTCAATTTGCAGGGCAACTTTGGGATGAGAGAACTTGCATTAAAACTGCCATTGCTCCGTTTGTATATTGTATAGATGTCCCAAAAGGTAAAACCTCCTTTGCTGGTGATCCTTTTCTATATATTTGATCACAACTTCGTTTTGGATATACTTTTTGCCGTGCAGTTGAATTTACTAATGACATTCATTAGAGTTTCTTTTCCCGTTCTTTTCCTTCTCATTTTTTCCTCCTAGGTGAACTGAAAATTTTGATAATTCTTTCTGTAATTGCACTCAACTCCCAGCCTAAGTTTCAGTTAGCCAAATGTAGCAACTTTGCATGTAGCCGTTTAGTGGATAGTGATAGCCAATTTTCACTGCAGGCTTAAGGTTGAGTTAGCTAAAGTAGAAACATGTCTAAGCTTATTGTTAGTTTCTACTCTTTCAAAGTTTATTCTACTGTAGAGTCTATGTCTGGAGTTAAAATTACTACTCTTCTTAGTCTGAATTGGCTGACATAAAAAAGGTGTGGTGAATTACTATATTTTGTCCTACTTCCCAATTTAACAGGGTTCAGAGGTTCTTAAAGCTTCATGTGCTTAATTATAGGTGAATTTGATGTATTGCATGTAGGCACTGTCAGTCCTTATCATAATTGAAACTTGTTCATGAATACTTATGGAATGTACCTAATGTTAATATTCCTCTGTCATATTTTGTGTTTTTCAGCAATAATTTCCTATTTCACTTAGTTTGACAGAAAAATTAGCGCATTACTAGTATCTTGAAGCCTTCTTTGTTTGATCATTGCCTTAATTAAGCCAGAAGATGAGCATTCTCATAAATAAATTGATTATCTTTCAGTTATCGAGTTCAAAATTTTCTAGAGAGTCATTATCTTAAGGGGCTTTTGAGTATCGAAGTTAGCCGTGGAACCCAAAAAAGTTCTCTGAGCTTGATGCATCCCTGTACAGTTCCATGAGATCATATCTTATTTTGAGTCATCCTGGATGGGCACTAATCACAGGCTCATTTAACACGCATACTGAAGCAAACCCTGATATGTGATAATTGCCACATTTTTATTCTTAGTTTAAGTTGATATTACTTTACATAGATAACTTCTGCATGTTTACAGCAATCAATAATCACAAAACACGCATACCCTGATATGTGCACTAATCACAGGCTCATTTCACACGCATACTGAAGCAAACCCTGATATGTGATAATTGCCACATTTTTATTCTTAGTTTAAGTTGATATTACTTTACATAGATAACTTCTGCATGTTTACAGCAATCAATAATCACAAAACACGCATACCCTGATATGTGCACTAATCACAGGCTCATTTAACACGCATACTGAAGCAAACCCTGATATGTGATAATTGCCACATTTTTATTCTTAGTTTAAGTTGACATTACTTTACATAGATAACTTCTGCATGTTTACAGCAATCAATAATCACAAAACTATCCAATATCTAGGCAGAGCTGAATGTGCTCTGGGGCTTGATGAACTTCTTTCTTCTAGCTTGATCAAGAATGGGATTCATAGAAGTATCTCTTAGCTATAGGGCTAGTTGAGAAAACAGAGAGCTGTCAGTCTTCTGTCTAGTGCAGTTGTAGCCTGTTTTGAAAGATATAGTGGTAGAATTAGTGTCACATTTTCTCTTTTGCCCTCTGTGGAGAGAGGCTAGAGACTGAAGCATAACTAATTCTTCTGATAGAGAATTTACCCAAGCTGCATGACGCTTGTTGATGTTACACTCTTCTGTGTTTGTGGCTGGCTTAGCTGGAGACTGATTGGTGCATGTACATCATATCCTTTGCTGATTGCATGTGTGGCCTGAACACCCCCATTTGGTTCACTTCCACATCCTTGCTCAGAAACCTGGCATAGGTAACTTCTCCTTTAGATTAAGGTCAAGGTCTCAAGGATATCTATGCTTGTGGTAGAAGACTAAAATGTAAAAGCAAAATTTTATGGTACATCTTGAAACAACAAGTGGAGGCAATACTCTCTAAATTAATACCTTTTTCTTCAATTCTGTATTCTCTTGTCGAATGAGGTTTACCTTTTTATAGAGTTCTATATTTTCTTGATGAATAAGATTGCCCTGCAGAAGCAATATTAATCATCCGGGTAATTTTAAAGACAAGAGAATATGGGAAGTTCTGATGGTTTTTCTAGTAGAACCTTCTGATTTAGTTCTCTGATTTCATCAGTCAAAATCTGCTCCTGCAAGAAAAAGTAATACATTCAGGATAAGTTGTAGACTATATAAACATAAGTTTCATGACCACAAAAGAATTTTAAAAGTGTGGATTTTACCTTTTGCTTTCGAACGCCTTTCAAACTCATTTCAAGTTGGTTTTCAAGATTTGTTAGATCTTTGATGCTGAGTCCAGAAAGTTCTTCACCCAGAAGCTGCCTGTGGTTCATAAAAGAAAGGGATTAGTTAAAATATTTCTCCCTTAGCAGCTTAGCTTACTAAGCTAGATCTCAGACATTGAAATATACACGTTTTATTGTTATTTAATTGCATGTTAAGCATGCCGACAAGCTCCGATACGTTGCTACAAAAGAAGGGGATGTTCATCTTAATATTTTTTATAGTTATTCTTCCCTCCTCCAGGAGTTGTTCACAGAAAAACATGGAAGAAAACATTGCAAATTCAAGTCTTGGATGTCTTTTTTCGTTAGTAATCCTTAGATTTTTTAAAAATTTTGTTTTTGGGCATTTTGCAAGTTCTTTCTTGATCGACTTAATTTTATGATATTTGAGTTTGACTAGGTTTTTGGCTTTTTAGTTAAATTTTGGTGTCTACATTTATTGTTATAGTTCTTCTTATTACTAGCAATCAATCGCTAGCAACTTCAGCTGTAGAAAATTATTTTACTCGGTTTAGAGTTCTGTTGGGCACTTTTAACTTCAGTTGTGCCCAAGAGATGCTAGGAGTGTATCTTATAACCTCTAAATTAAATAATCATGGCATCTTTGTGTTGTTCTGTTTTCCCAGTGTTTGCTCTAAACCATAAATTTGACTAAAAGCTTCAAGAAACCTGAATTACTCTAATGCTTGTGAGAAATGAACCTTAAAACAAAATCAGTATGCAGCATCTTTTTCCTTTTTTGTTCTGTTTTCCAATCCTTAAATGGCCCCAAGTGTAAAGACTATGATAAGAGGAAGCTTTGAGAAACCTGTCACCTTACTCAAAAAAAAAAAGAAAAAAAAGAAGCTTTGAGAAACCTTAAACTGTTTCAAACACTAGAAAAGAGCCCCTAAAAGTCCTTGCATATTCAACTGAAAGCACCAGCAACAGCTGGGGATAAGTAGGTGTAGATTATTGTATAAAAAAATGTGATTGGTCAAAATATCATAACTATTTTCGGAAACATGATGAAGAAATTTTGATGATGTTTTAGAAATTCTGGTTAATTACCCAAAATGGCATTTGTTTGTGTATGAAGTAAAAGTAATAATGGGTTTGATTGTTGATTGGATTTGTCAAGTGCTCATATTACTTAAAACTTTATCTCCAATAAAATTTTTAACTTTTTTATGCATAGAAACTTATAAGAATACAAAGTAGGCAAAAAAAAAAAAATGACTTAACAATCTATCTTGGAGAACTAGAATAAATAAATATAAATGTTTGCTCCCTAGCAGTTAACTCAGGCGAGGTAGTTTTGAGTTTTGACAATTTACAATCCTGAATTCGAGTCTCATCGCTATCCTTCATGGAATGATTTCTTATGTACTCGATCCACTAGAAAAAGAAAAACTGACACGTGAGGGTCGTATTAAGATTTAACTAAAAAATATTCCCTATAATAAATTTCACACAAGTCAATATATTAAATGGTATCAAATTACTCAATTTATAGTGTATAAAGGTATCACATTGTTCAATCTATAGTGTGTACAATAAAAGATCCTGTGGCATAAAGAGGCATGTAAAAGATATACCTTGTCAAATCAATTTACCTGTGATTTTCTTGCAAGTAATGTAGTTGTTGCCTCAAACTTGCTATTTCCCTTTGCCAAAACTAGCCAAAACCAAGGAAAGAAAGAAAAATAAGTATAGTGCTTAGAAGATGAAATTAGAAGGCTAAATAATTCCTGAGATGAAATCAGGTAAATATTGCTTTGATCTTTCTTTGTAGTGCTTGATGATTATTGCAACCCATGATAAATTCAACCATACAAGAAAAGTACTTTAGGATGATGAGAGCCACATATTAGATGTAGAACGTTCTTAGTTTTGTTTCAACTACGATTCAATCTAAAACTAGACGGGCTCAACTATATGAATCCTCGATATCTATTCTCATTTGTTCAAACCTATCTATGTAGCACTTTTTCGTAACTTGAAAGTTTATAGAAAGTAAATACATTCATCTGAATTTGGATCTTGATCATTCATCTTTGCGCCACTTATCTTGTGGATACTTGGAGCCTTTAGAGACCTACATTTACTCCCATGTATGTAATATTGCTGGTCTTACAATCGTTTTATAGAATTTGCATTTCACTTTGGTAGTTATCCCTCTATTACATAATACTCCGGTAGCAAATGTCCATTTAAACCACTCTATTTTGATTGGATGTGTAACATCCCCATCTATTGTGCCGTTCTCTTCGAACATCAAGCCTAGATATATGAATTGGTTGCTTTTAAACCTTGCAATCTTGTTTGGTCTGACCTCAACTTCACTCTTCTTATGCGGGCTAAACTTGTAATGCATGTCTTACTTTTACTTATCCTAAAACTTCAACTTTTTAGAGTGCGTATCAGAAGTTCAAGTTTTGGTTGATATCCTTGATGGTTTCGTCAATTAGCACAATGCCATTTGAAAATAGCATGTACAATGTAACCTCAAACTATATAGTGTGAGTTAGCTCATCCATAAGTAGGGTAAACAAGGCTCAATGCCTATTCTGGGTGTAAAAACATGGTTATGGGAAACTCTTTGTATCTCGTACTACTGTTCTCACACTAGTGACAACTATTTCATATATCATTTATGATATTATATATTTAATATGAGTTCCTTTCTTCTTCATTACCCACCAAAAGCTTTTCTTGGCACTCTTCTCATTCGCTTTCTCTAAGCTGTGTAGATTCTTCCTCTTGCAATAAATTTTCATGAATCTTCTTAGCATATAGCCTTCGTTGTATATCTACCCCAAAATGGTTCTACATTACTTTTATGGTGTCCGTAAGTTTATGATCTATCGCTCTTTTCCAAAATTTCATAGCATGCTTCATACTTTTAATGCCACGATAGTTTGTAAAATGTTAGGGATGGGTGGAGGGAGGAGGGAATGATGTCATGGAAGGAAAGAAGAAGGATCATGTTAAGGAGAGGCAAAAATAATTGGGTTCCTAATAGGGGTGGGCATAATACCGACCGAACCGAACCGAAAAAATCGGCCGAACCGAAAATTTCGGTTTATTCGGTTTCGATTTTTCGGTTTATTCGGTCGGTTTGCGGTTTATAGTTTTAAAAAGTTCGGTGGTCGGTTTTAATGGTTCGGTTTTCGGTTAAACCGAAAAACCGAATTTTTTTAGCCTAAACCCAAAACCGAATTATTTATAACCGAATTAAGAACAATATAAAATACAACAAGAATTTTAACCCCAACGGATATTGCGGAATTGATGTAATCCTTCTTCGTATTTGAATTTTAGTAACGGGTGAATGGGATCTACAGAAAAATAAACAAAGCCTCATTCGCACAATTCATTCTTCCGTATCATCTGAATTCGCATGCTAATCATTCACTTATTTCACTGATTGGATATATATAGAATTTCATTATATTATATGACCATTAATGCAGTCTAACAAAAATAAATGGAGAATATTTATAAGCACTCAATATGTTTTTGGTTACCCTTTTTGGCTATTCTCTCACAAGTAATCTATTTTCGTTGTTTCATACTATTTTTGCCATGGCTTGAAACCGAAAAACCGAATCGAACATGAATAAACCGAACCAAACCGAAGTTATTATGATTTGGTTTTGGTTATTAAAATCACAAACCGAAAACCGAATAAACTAAACCGAACTTCTACAAAACCAAACCGAACCGACCAATGCCCACCCCTAGTTCCCAAGGGGTGAGGGTTGAAATTGCANGGGTTGGGGAAAGCAGAAGTTGGACCTGGAAGAAAGGATTAAGAGGAGGAGATTGAGGAAAAGAAATGAAAGAAGGGCTTATCCTCTATTTGTATGGTGAACCTTTTGCCTCTTATACTAATTGCTGGCCTAGATTAATAGTTATCTGCCGATCAGTTTTCTAGTCTCTTAAGATTAAGATTAATGTACCTAGCTAAAAACTGGGGGAGGTAAACCTTTTCAGGTGAGCAGTCTGTGTAAGAAATGACAGCTAATCTTCAGGAAGCAAGAAAGAAACCTCTGTTACAATTGCTCAACATGGTTTAAGAATTAACTTCTCACAAAATTTACATATGCATTCTTGGTCTTTCAGCACCTTAGACATTTGGGATCTTTGGTCAACTAATCATCTATTGGGGACCTGTGATTATCACGGGTAACTATGAAGTTTAATGCCCTAGGAATGACTATGTGGAATAATGAGCAATGAATTATATAGAATGTAATAAGCAAATTCTCTATTGAGTACCTGCCTAATTAATAATCTTGTCCTCACCAGATTGAGTTAATTAATCTTGTCGAGAATACATGCATACGAAGTTACATATCCTATCATATGCGCAATCCATGTACCAAGCGGACCCTGGTCTTCAGGGAGAAAAAAACATTTATTACGAATGCAGAGCTTGGTTGTAGAAATAATCTCTTAGCCAAAAACACCATCTAGGGCTGTTCAAAATCAAACCAAAACCGTTAACCAACCAAACCGATGGCTTATTGGCTTATTGGTATCGGATTATCGGGGTAATGGATGGTGAACAGATTGAGATTTTATAATTAACGGCTTAACGATTTGGGGCAGATTACTCAAATTTCTTATCGGGTAAACCGTTAACCCGTTAAGAATTTTTATATTTACATTTTTTCCCCTATGTATATAAAGTACTATTGAAACCCTAAACGGCTAAGAGGGTGTTTGGCTAAGCTTATAAGCTGGTCAAAGTAGCTTATCTACGCGTTTGGTAAAGTTAAAAGTACTTATAAGCCAAGTGCTTATAAGTAAAAAATAAGCCGTAAGCTAGTAACCCCCAACTTATAAATTTTTAGCTTATAAGCACTTTAAGTTTGACCAAAATTTTTATTATTTTATCTTTAAAATATTCTTTTTTAGAACAAAACTCTTGCATCGATACTCAATGCCTCAAGTACTATTTCAACCTAAACCCCTCCCTCCGCCTCTTCAAGTCTGCAACGCTCATTGACTATTTAAGATAAGCAAATTCTCTATTCCTTTGCATATTTATATCTATATGGTTTGTATATTAATCTTTGAATTGTATGTAATAAATGAGGACATATCAAATTTTTGGTATGTTGCTTTCTAAGTGTTGTGCTGATAAAGACAGTGTTTGTTTCTCTTCAAATATTTTGTCCTATTTAGGTTTATTTTTTACTAAGAAACTTTTATCAATTTATTAATTATTATAACTTATGATTATATGCTTATCATAAAATAAATTATATTTATCATAAAAGTTATCTTATCTAAGCATAGTTGTATTTAAAATAAAATGACAAATAGAGTATTTTGTATTTGGATCGATTTGGAATCTAAAATTTTGAAGATATTACGCCCTTATAGGTGTAAACACGTATAATGTTATTTGCATCGATACTCAATGCCTCGAGTACTATTTCAACCTAACCCCCTCCCTCCGCCTCTTCAAGTCTGCAATGCTCATTGACTATTTAAGATAAGCAAATTCTCTATTCCTTTGCATATTTATATCTATGTGATTTGTGTATTAATCTTTGAATTGTATATAATAAATGAGGACATATCAAATTTTTGGTATGTTGCTTTCTACGTGTTGTGCTGATAAAGACAGTGTTTGTTTCTCTTCAAATATTTTGTCCTATTTAGGTTTATTTTTTACTGAGAAACTTTTATCAATTTATTAATTATTATAACTTATGATTATATGCTTGTCATAAAATAAATTATATTTATCATAAAATTATCTTATCGAAGCACAGTTGTATTTAAAATAAAATGACAAATAGAATATTTTGTATTTGGATCGATTTGGAATCTAAAATTCTGAAGATATTACGCCCTTATAGGTGTAAATACTTATAAGGTTATTTAAGTCATTTTAACAGAAAAAAAGCTTATCAGCACTTTTTTATCAAATACTGTAGCAGCTTATTATCAATTTCAGCACTTGTATCCAAACGCGTAACTGCTTATTTATTAAATCAGTTTCAAGACTTAAAAGTGTTTTTCAGCACCTAATGCTTATCAGGTACATCAAATCAGCTCATCCAAACAGGCTCTAAATCCCTAACTTCTACCGTTGGCTCATATTATAGCTCAATAAAGTTAGGTAGATCTGTAGTAAGATGGAGGAAGCTAGTTTTCTTCATGTTTAGCATAGATTAGCTCGTATCTGTTATGTCTTCCTTATCAGTAGTTCTTGTATGTACTTGATTGTTCAAAAGTTTTTTATTTTGTTTAGCCGATAAACTGCCCGATAATTGTCAATTCGATACCAATCTGCCCATTATCTTATTGGATGGTTAGCGGATTACAACATTTATAATCCGATAACCGTTAAGCGTAATTTTATCCACCCGATAAGCACCCCGAACTCCATCTGCATTGTTGTGCGTTAGGGGTGTACATAGGTCGAGTTGGTTCGGATTTTCTAATTACCAAACCAAACCAATTGTATCGGATTGTTAAATCTAAAAACCAAACCAAACCAATAAAAGTCAGGTTTTTTAGTCTCGTTTTTTCTCGGATTTTTCGGATTTTCGGGTTTTCCGGATTTTTTTCATAAAGTCTTCATAGCACAAAACATAGAATTTTTGCTCCAAATATTTCTTTAATCTAGTAAGACAGAACTATATAAGGTGTTTTTCAATAAAATAACATAAATATTGGATGAGTTATGGCATTGTACTAAAATATTCAATAATAAAGATAATAAAATTGCACAAAATAAATATTATTAATAAGCCATAATGAAAACAAACATAATTTAAAAATTACGACTATATACTATTATTTACATGACTAAACACTATAAAAGAAAAATAAGTTATGCATTTTATCTAAATCATGAATAAGCTTAAAAATAGATATCCAACACTATTTTCATTCATAGTACAATTGAATTGAATGTTTTTTATTAGCATTAGTATTGATTTGATTTTGGTTTAGGATTTATTTGAGTTACTAACATTTATGGACTATAAAATTTATTGGAGCATCCAAAAATTATAAGTCAAGTTTGAAATAATACGTTAAAAGATAAAATTATGAAAAAATTTAAGAAATATTTATAAACTACACTACAATAAATATTTTTATGCATTAAATATATTTAAAACTTCTACACATATAATGTCGGGTTGGTTTGGTTTCGCTTTGACTTTTTTTTAGTTAAAACTAAACCAAATATGGTCGGATTTTTTTTTCCAACACCAAACCAAATCAAACCAAACTATAGGCGGTTTTTTTTTCCGGTTTGACTCGGATTATCTGGTTGGTGCGGTTTGTCGGTTTCATTTGTACACCCCTATTGTGCGTCAACTCTTTAGACAGTTGGATCTCTGAGATTGTAATTGTGCATCTCTTCGACCTGTAGGCTCCCTGCCCAATTTTCTAAATAGGAAACTTGACACCCTTTTTTTGAACAGGTAAAATGGAACTTGACACCCGTGTTTGATAATAGAGATCAACTAGTGGTAAACAATGTACGGCAAAAATGTATCGTGTCTCAGTTTTTCCATAGCAATAAGAAACAAACTCTTTAGCGATGAACGTCTGAAGATAGCACATACATTGGTTGGGGTTGATATTGTCTTTCAGGCTGGAAGGATGCAATTTTTAAACTTTTACCATTGACAATTTAATGACGGATTCGTAGTGAGATTGAAGTCCTGGAGGAATATAGAGAACTCCTGTGGATGGATTATGAACTTGATATGTATGTGAATATTTTCATCTGTGTTCATGTCCATTTACTCTCAGGTTATCCTCCTCGGATGGTCAAGGCCTCAAGGGTGTTTTTTTCCAACCGGAATGACTGCTTCAGGAATCATTGCAAGATTTTCCTAATGTCCTTGCTTGCCTCCAGCCTTAGAAAACCATGAATCCATATTCCATGGTATGTTTTGATTAATCATGCCCTTGGTCATTGACATATATGATTTGGATTTAATGGAGCACCTGAACTTTTACTTTCTTGTCATTTGAAATTTCTGATAATACTTATACCCTCACTGCCTTCTTCCCAGTTGGATACCTTTTTTGCTATCCTCATTGACATGTCGGTAAGTCAAGGATGGTTACCTGAGATGTCCGTCAGCTCTGGTGAGGGATCGGTCGTAGATATAAACATGCAACACTGGAGAGACCTCTTTCGGCAAAGAATTATACCACAAAGCCCCAACAAGGTGCTACCACTTATAGGAGTCTTCTTTGCTAGTAGAATGCCTCCATGAGAAGAAAGAATAGTGTGATGCTCACGCTCTCGTTGGACGTGACCGTCAGTTACAGTGGGTAAACTAACGAAGGGAATAGATGCTAACTTGAGAGCACAAAAGTAGGATTTAGCACCAGTGAAGGATTTGGTCATATTTGAGATGCAATACCAGGAATAGATGCTAGTTTGAGACAGAAGACCAGGACACTCAGGTTCAGGTTATTTATTAGATATGTTAGGTTCCATTTGTTGAATTATCACATGAATTTGCTCCATGAACTATGCTCCCTAGATGGGGAAGACTATTTATCTTTATAATTTAATTACGGTATCCATGGATAGGAATTCAAACTTAGGTTTTCCATCTAATTTAATCTATAAATAGTTGCGATGTTGAGCAAATTGTCATAATGTGTCACGTAGGACCTTTGGTAGGGTTTTCAATCGCTAAACTTGTGTAGACATTTCATCCAACTGAGTTTTTATATTTTGTGTTTGTGGAATGACTTCCTTTTTGAAAATTTTATATTACTTACCTCTGAGAGTAGATCCTATATCGATTTAGGTGGGGTTGAGACATCCTCCATCCTCTCCTCTGATATAGGGATCTGCAATTTTAAAGCATTCTCTGTTAGACAAACGAACTATCCTCTAATGGAATTTGTTAAAATAGTGTCTCATCTGGACCTTCAACCTAGCATTGCAGATGTCTTTTTGGGATTTCACTTCATTTCTGCAAATGCAAATTAAAGAGGCATTAGATCCCAGTTTCAGAGCAGAATGGATATATAGGAACATATAGCCGGCCTCAACTGATTTTGGATTATGGTTTAGTTGATTAATTAGATCATGGATTCTGCTTATGCAGAGATAAACAAACTCTAAACTCCGGCTTATCATGTCAAGACCATCGTATTCCTTCTGCTTGTTAGCCTAATTATCTCATCTGCAGGCAGATTCCCCTAGGTTATATTCTCTTGTCAGTGCACATGGTGGAGTGGAATTAAACTGTAACGGGTGAGCATTACTAGTTTTGTCGCCACCTTATTCTCCGGTGACCTCCCTTATTTCAGGCATCATGACTGTTTGATGGCTGACTTTTGGTCTCAAAACTAGTGCAACATAAACTGGGAAAAAGAACCGGTATCAGTTTGTTCCTGCACTATTTGTCTGGGATAAACTATTCCAATTTCCAACATGCATCTGTTTGATCTGATATGGTATTTCTTGTGGTTTGGCTTTCTGCTTATATAGAACTTGTTGGAACAACAAATGCTGCATCAGCCAGAATCTATAACTGTCTCTGGAGATGATGACCTGATTCAAATATGATAAGTGGTATATTATGTAGATGGATAATAAGTATCTATCATGCTGGATAACTCTTAAGATGATAGTATTTACCACTTGATTAAGAGTTGATACTTATTGCTTCCTTTCACTTATGGGACTATGCTTACTATTGGGAAGGAGGGTAGGAAAAACTTCCTGAAACAGGTTCAAACCTGCTATTTTGTAATGCAGACAATACAGGAACCAGAGTGTAGTGGAGGCTTTAAGGGAATTCTCTACACAGCTCATGGATTTTTCAGGTTAGTAGTGGAAACATGGAGGTAACTATGGATCACTCAACTTTGAGAAGAGACCTTGTTAGTTATTTTAGGTTGGGTTTCTGTTTTCAGTATCTTATAGATGATTATAGATGACTTACTGTATTTGTTTAGGTTCCATCAAAGTAGTTCACTAGTATGACATATAATAGCGTAGGTGTTGCAATTCAAGAATCGATCCTTGGATTTGATAAAGTAAAACTTGTTTGGAACTCTGAATGAGCGTGTAGTTAGGTTACAATAGGCCACAATTACGAATTAATTGGCACCGGAACAAACCCTAACAGAAGTCCCAATTTGTGCTAATAAAGCTTTAACCCTAATAGAGGAAGGCAGCACCTTTTGGGATCAAAGCACGATTCCAAAATCCTTTTCAAAATAAGCTTACCATTTAACTTTCTTTACATCGTCATGAGATACAGCATTTGACACAAAATTCTCTTCATGCTTATAGAAATCTTATAGAGTAACTGAGTGGCAGTGTTAGCATATGAGCCTGTAGGATTTGATTCCACTTGATCGAACTGCTCCAAGGAAAGAACAGGAATCAAGTATTTGACTGGAGTTAATCCCAAGGTTTATCGAGCTTCCTAGATTAAGGAACAGGGAGAGGGATTATAGCGCGAGGGAATGATACTAGAGGCCTTTCAACACAAACACCTCCAACAGGGACTCCATCCCCCTTTATGTTTACTAAACCATCTCATCAACATCAATTGACAACACATCATAGATAGAACTAATGAGTCAGATATATTTGCATTGGAAGAAGGTTAACAGTCAATGGTAACTATCGATGCTTGAAGTGACCAATTAGGAGGAAGCAGGTTGTTGTCTCGAGCAAGCATAAGAACCGAACATGAAGTAGGGGGAGAAGGAAAAAAGGGACAACAAGATAGGCATCTATTCAGGGAATCAGCCAACAATTAATAAGCAGGAATAAGAGGGCAAAGGAGAATAACAAGAAGATAGCAGAACCATGGAAGAAGATACATGAGAGGATGTACAAGAAGAGTATGGAAGTGGAAAAAGATAAAAGAGTACCAACCAACACATGGAAGTTTCCAGAAGTGTAGCATTGCACCACAAGAATGTGTGAAGTCTTATAATGGGTAGCTTTTTTTAATAAAAAAAAAAGTTGATGAAATTCCCCAGCAGGCAGAGAGGAAAAATGAAGCAGTAAAGGCAGCAAAAACAACCAGAACATCAACAAAGTGAGGATTATTCCCCCTCCTCACCCAGTCACTAAGGTGCACAGCAAAGATTCTGTTTATCCTTTCTCTATGAGTTTGCTGATTTACATTTCGTGTTTTAGCTTTTGCTATATGTCATTAACTTTTCTGACTGTTTGGCTCTCTAATATCGTGTTCTGTTTTTCTAGTAAGTTGAATCTCTCTCATAACCATGTTGAGAAGATACCTACCAGAAGTTACCATGGAGTCAGTTAACGAATCTGACATATACCAACCAAAACCTGGTGGGTGGATTGTCCCAGTTCAGGTGTTCCATTGGTATTTCCTAGCCATCCTTGGCGCCAGAGGAAGAACACTGACCACGCTAACATAGCTAAAAGTTTGAATGGGGCAAGATGCCCAGAAAGAGCAGCCACTTCAGATGAATGCCTACTGTTACTGAATTCTTAATGCATACACGAAATTCACATAGGTGGATCCTGCGGTCTTGAAACTTTTTGCAAGACTTCCGTGAGCCATGATAAAGACGGGGTGAACTCGAGAATAAAGGAATGGGAAAAGGCTGATAACATAATATGGAGTTAGTTTGGGCCAAAGGATGACCTTGATCATCATGAAAACTTTTTTGACCCTCCCTAAACTCCACTGTGAGCCTTCAACTGAGCTTGCTTGAAAAAACCTGCTTAAAAACCTTTTGTTGTTCTTGAAGAATTTGTATTTGCTTTAATCTAGTCGCACCTTGACCATGTGTGAAGATCAAGAGCTATTATTCACATCTGTTCTCTCTCCATAGCAATCTATTTTTGGGAGTTAGTCAACTCTCCATTAATTTGCATTTTTAAATTTTTGTATTTTTACAATTCCAAGCCTTTTATACAATTCCTACCTCAAAAGGGAAATGAAGCTACAGCTAACTTGCCATCATCAACTATTGTCAAACAGAATGGTGTAGCTCTTGTTCTATAATGGAGACTATAAGTGCTCTTTCTGGGCTTCTCTGTTACAGCACTGTTAAGAAAAAAATTGTCGATGTCATTGTGGCTAATCTGATCCTTCGCCGATTTACTGTTTAATCAAAGTACTTGTCAATTAATTGTAACATAAAGTAATATGAAATCATTTAGCAATCAATTTTCTCAAAAGCTATTGTTGAGGCCAGGGTAAGAGGTTCATTTAAAAAAGAGGTCAATCTTAGGGGTGCCATAGTTGATTAATGACTGTTTCAATCTCTTTGACTGAAAGCTTGCATCATTCATATTTAGCTTATAAAGATATCACGTGGAACTTTAAAAAATGAATCATCTTTCAAATTCTGGCCTTATACTATCTTTGATTGAGATTTCGACAGAATATATTTGAGCTAACCAAAATGAAAAATTAAATAGATAATGTTTCCCATAGAGGTCCACACGCGTGGTTGAAGGATAAGAATAATAACCTGAAAATTTCCAACTATAACATTTAGTTCGAGCCTATCTGCTCCACATTTGATGAGTTACTCAATATATATATATCCCACAATGGATATACAAGATCATTTAAAAGGTTAAATAGCAAAGAATATTTAATCCATTATCTTAAAGATTTTTAATTGGAAGTTTAGATTCTCTGACATAGAATGAGAGCAGACTTTTCCTAAATCCCTTCTCACAAGGTATTGAGTACGATGTAACACATCTAGTCTAGTATACAAGAACATCCAAAAAGGGACATTACATACACTCGCAATTCTCTATTAACAACCACTTGTGAAAACAAAAATCGGTGGTGTTTATGTATATAACCAATGTATATGTATGAGTTAAATTCCTGTGTTAAACTAGTTATCTGTGTGCCAAATTAAACTATACATATGATTCTACCTTTGCAAGTCCATTATTCCATCAAACGAATTCTATTTAGGCAATTCTGAAGCAGATTTAAATATAATTAAAGAGCTATACCTTGACCTCTGACATAGGACTCATGAGGTTATGATGCTCCTCCTTCATCTCGTTGTATCTATCAATTATAGCCCTCATGCTGGTAACATAGCAAATATATAATTGTGTCAAGAGTTTAACTTCTCACACTAACATAATGAATTTAAACTTTACATTATCAAATCACCTAAAAGATAATTATAGGTAATTATCCATGATGCATAATAAGTAGGAGTAATAAGACAGGTAACTCGCCAAAATACACTAACAGCTTATAAATTGTTACATTGTTAGTGTATGAGTCAAATTCATGTGTTAAACTAGTTATCTGAGCCCCATATTAAACTATACGTATGATTCTGCACTTGTGAGTCTATATTCCATAAGACGAAATTCTATTTAGGCAATTTCGAAGCAAAATATACACATAATTAAAGTGATCACAAGTATATCTTGATGAAAAGATTAAAAGTTCTAATGTAAATTATGCATGCGTCTAAAGAAGGTTGTATAGAAAGGTAGTACAAAGTATTCTAATTATGTGAGAAGCTACTTATGTGAGTTTATCTGAGGGCCACAAAAGAGTGACAGAAGTTTCTGGATGCATACGTAGAATTAAGGAGCATCCTGTTTGTTAGTTTAGTAGAATAATATATTTGGCAGCATAATAATGTTTGCATTCACTGATGTGGGATTAACTCAATAAGATCAAGGACACGAATTGTATTAAATCTCATATGCCTTTATTCTAATCATTAAACCAAATGACACCTTAGGGTTTATGTGAAGACTGAAGAGAGAATAACAATATCGAGGGATATGGGATAATTAATCCTGGGATAATTATCCCGGGGTTGTAGATTTGTAGTGTTTGTTTATCCCTATTGTAAGGGTAAATAACTAATCTCGGGATAACTAATTCCGGAATAATTAATGATGGTATAACATGTTTCCCATCCAAACGTGCTCTAAAGAGTTATTTCTTACTTGCACCAAATAGAATACAATAGAGATATTTATCACTGCAGGGCTTTAAACCAAATTCTAAAGTGCGGACAGATTTCAGATTTGCAAATATTACTACTCCTATTAGGTTTTCTTTAGGATTGGTGCATGTTGTTCCTCGAGTCATTTTTTCAACATTAATTAGGTTTGTATAGAATGGGCCAGGCTAGATAAAACACCTCGTGCATGATTAACAAATTTAATCCCTGGATTAAAAAAGCAAAGCTAGTTTTAGATTTCTCCCAATATACTTGGAAAAAAAAAAGAAAAGAAAAAACAACTGAAAGTAACGTAGCATGCATTTATAAATATGCACGTTGGAATCTTGATGCAGTAACAAAGGTTAATCCATGATATGATCTGACTACTCTTTTTTCACATACAAAGTACAAACTGGAAAGATACCAACTTGGTAATAATTTTTAATAAAAAATAGCAGTAAATGGAAAGGTACCAAATTGGTAATTTTTAAACAAAAAAATTACATAAAACGATATGCAAGAAGTACAGAATATATGAAATAGAGGCAGTTCTACAGCAGGAAAAAATCCCATATTTCAGTCCAAACTTTTCCCAAAGAAAAAGGAAAAAAAAAAGGAAGAATGCAAAAATTATATATCTCTATGTTTAGGACCAAATTAAAATTAAAATTAAAAATGTAAAAATAACTAACCTGTTGCTGGAAAATTCATAGAGTTTTCCAGTGCTGGAGAAAATAATGAGTCCAACTTCAGCATCACAAAGAATTGCTAGCTCTTTAGCCTTCTTCAGCAGCCCATTTCTTCTCTTTGAGAAAGTCACTTGCCTGCTTGTTGTATTGTCAATCCTTTGAATCACAATTTTTCCTCTCCCCATCTTTTCTAATTCTAATATATACTTTGATAATACTAATTATATCTACTTTAATTCGAGCTTGCTTCTTTTCTCTGCAAAATTAATGAAAAGGGTCATGAATATAGAGCTCAGACTATTAATAACTTATATAAAACATGAAATTAATTAAAGGGTAGAAGTATATATACGAAGAAATTATCGATATAGTTCGAGCTAAAATTAGAAAGCATTTGAGGTATAAGAAAAATACATTCGTAATTAATTTAGGAATCTGATAAAAGAGAAAATGGGCAAAAGAAAAAGAGAAAACAAACAATAGCTAATAATTTTGAGCTTTTGATAGGAAACTATAGATAGAGTTTCTTCGATTTTCTTTTTGAATGATATCTAGGGTTTTGACCTTGCTTCTCTCCTCTGCTAGATCAATCAAATGGGATCACAAAGAGCTAGAATATTAACAAGAAGCTGACGGAAACAATTTTTGAAGAAATTAATCATCGGTAACTTGAGCTAAAATTAGAAAGTTTTATGAACAATCAAGAGCCACAAAAATGGAAATAAATCCAAAAGCATATGAATTTGACAAAAAAAGTAAATAGAAGACAAAAGTAAAAGAAGGAAAAGAGTGGCTTACTAATTTGAGGGATTTTGACAGGGAGAGAGAAGGGAAATACTGGTTGAGTTCTTTTCTTAAATGAACTGTTAATTGAAAGCTTTATATGGAAAGCTTAGCTAAATGATGGTTTTCTTTTTTCTAGAGAAACCAGGAGCTTGTTTTACAACCTAAAACCACTTTATCAATTTATCTTGCCCAATCTCGCGAGTGCTTAACAACAGTCCACTCGCTGACACCTGTCTAGAAAGATCATTTCAACCGCTTTGACGGCCTAATAGATTTACAGATTTGCCACTTGGTCACAGCTTTCGAGAGCACAGGGCGAGTACAGTCAGTTCTGTACTCGAGAGAATGGGCTTAAAATGGTATCCTCGGAGTCTCAGAACGCTTTTGATTGAAGAAATGCTTAATAGAAATTTTGAGGTCGTTGGGACGTATAGCTGACTGACATGTGTCGACATGACAATGGCTTTTGGCCATTTTGGGGGTCGTTTAATTGTTCATTGACCTTTTAGTATTACTTGTACACGTCCAAGTTTCTCCATGCGATTTTTTGCTTTTCATTAAAAGCATAACTAGTTTTGGAAAATGAGAAAATGTAGTTTTTTCTCATGATAACTTTTTTGATAAGTATTTTTGAGAAAAATACATTTAGAAATACTTTTTAAAAGTTTGGTCAAATACTAATTGATACTTAAAAGTATTTTTTAAATTAATTAGCCAAAACTGCTTCTCACCAAAAGTACTTTTGAGAAAAATACTTTTGAAATAAATTACTTCTCAAAATAAGCTGATTTTTTCAACTTGGCCAAACAGGCTATAACCTTTACCAACAAAGGTTGTGGTGGAGTAGTAGGATGTGTCTTGTCTTTCTTTCTTATTCCTCTGTACGTGTGTGGCGATTAGGCTCAAACAATTGAATCTGACATCGTTATCCTTTTCCTGTATTACGCAGATCAATCACCCGATAAGTGAATTTAGCTAGAAGTTCAAAGATATTAAATGTTACCACTAGATAGGCAACTGTCTCCTAACAGCGAAAAGTGACGGAAGTAGCAGACAAGGCCAATGAAAGGCCTATTTTTTCACAATGAGAGCCTTACCGCTAAAAGTGTAATAGAGTCTATTCTTGAAATTAGTACGGATTCACCACTATAGCACCAGGAGAGTGCCGTTACAAAAGTATTTACTGCATGAAAATTGAGATCTCGATTGATACAATAGATAGACAAAAGAAGAATGGGAAACAACAAAGGGCTCCAGAGGCCTCAAATATTTAGATTAGGTCTAGCACAGAAATAATTTCTCTAATGAAGTTTCAAAAATTGAAACATGGGTTGTGAGGTATTGAATAATCTTTCAGGTTGTTGCTATGTGGGAGAATCTGAGTTAATTAAACATATTTAACAATCTTGTCTTCAAGTTGAGAATAAAGATATCCTAGTTGACTTGATATTACTTAATGTGGTCTATTTAACATATTGATGGGTACATAATTGTTATCTTCCCGCCAAGTTATCCTCAATTGCTATTAAAGATAGTTAAGTTTGAGATAACGAATTAATACGAGGATGGGTGATTGTTCAAGTACCGAGATTAGGCCCTAGTTGGTAAAAGCAAGGATATGATCGTTAATCGTGATGGCATTCTCCGGCTAGGTAATCAGTTATGTGTAGTAAACATATATGAGTGAGATAGGCTATACGTGATGAAGCTCACAACTCTAGATACACTGTACATCTCAGGTCCATAAGATATACCGTGACTAGAAGAAAAATGGATTGATTGGAAAAGAAAGATGAAAGAATTCGTTAACTTTATTTCTAACTATTTGACAGTCAGCATGTTAAGGCAAGCACTTGCGACTCGCAGACCCACTGCAACAACTCAAGATTCTCAATTGGAAATACAATAGAATTATAATACCTTATATGACTGAATTACCTAAATCATTAGAGGTAAGATTATGTGCGGGGAAAGAGTAAATTGACTTACAAAGTAAGCACATTTTTTGCTAGTCAAAACTTCTTACAGTGAGGAAAAATATGCATACATATACATGGATAGAAAGTTGTCCGACTCATTAGGGTTATATTGTCTATCATCTTTGATAGAGGATCATAACTCACTTCATGATTTGAAAAGCTTTTCAAGAAGCGTTACGTACACGAGTAGATCTTAGTACTGCATTTCATCCACATACAGACGAGCAGTCTGAACGTATTATACAGATCTTGGAGGATATGTTGAGAGCTTGCATTCTTGAGTTTGGAGGTAGTGGGGCTTATCTACCTTTAGCTTAATTTGCTTACAATATTAGCTTCCAGTCCAGTATTCAAATGGCATTATACGAAGCATTGTATGGTAGAAGATAGCGTTCTCCTATCAGATGGCTTGAAGCTGGGGAGACTAACTTATTGGACCTAACTTAGTTGTAAGAAGCTATTGACAAGGTCTAATTAATCAGGCAGAGATTATTCTCACAGCTCAAAGCAGATAAAAATCTTATGCAGATAAGAGGAGAAGAGATTTAGTGTTCATAATTGGGAAAAAAGTATTCCTACGAGTTTCCCCTATGAAAAGTGTGGTGCGGTTTGGGAAAAGAGTCAAGTTGAGCCCCAGGTTTATAGGACCGTATGAGATACTAAATCGAGTGGGAGCTGTGGCTTATCGTTGGCACTTCCTCCTGAGTTATTTTTTTATTCATCAAGTGTTTCATGTTTCCATGCTAAGAAAACGTATATCAGACTCATCTCAAGTGCTTGAAGCACCAACTATACCACTTGATGAGAATTTGGCTTACGATATGAGCCGATGGCTATTGTTGATAAATAAGTAAGAAAGCTAAGGTCAAAAGAAATTATGTTTGTAAAAGTCTTATGGAGAAATCATACAGTTGAAGAAGCTACATGGAAAGAGGAAGATACCATGTGAGTCAAATATTCTCATTTATTTCGGTCTACAAGTACATAGTTGAGTTAAATTCGGGGACTAAATTTTATAAGGTAGGGAGAATGTAATACCTCTTATTAAAAACAGGGGTAGTTAAGTAAATTACAAAAAAAGAAAAGAAAAGAAGATAACAACTAAAAAAAGAGTATGTAAACGGGCCTTAACCCATCTGCAAAGTGATAGGGCATTAGGAGAAAATAAAACAAAAGCTAAAGGGATTTGGGGGGAAGGGAACGCAACACATATGTTGCGATTGAAGCAGAAGCTAAGAAAAAAAATCTTTCTAGGAGAGAAGGAAACTTTAGAATCAGTTAATTCAAAGTTTGAAGCTCCAATACCGTGATTCTTTATTCAAGGGATTTCCTGTGCATCCTTAGATTTCTTTACGTGGAGAAGAACAAGGTAAAAATCGAATTTTCTCTATACTAAGCCTATGAACAGTTATTATTTTCTCCAACTAAGGGCAAAGACAAGAAAAGGGAACTTAATGTATTCTGTATAGCGTTTGTAACAAACTCACCAAGTTTGGCAATGCTAATGTCCACAGGGACTATGTAATGACGATGTAATTTTCTTTTATCAATATTATCCTTTATTTAAAAAACATGTATTTTGTATAGCAATTAGAAAGTCTTATTAGATGAATAAATATTCCATAAGTATAACAAACACTGTAGTGTAAGGATAATAAGTATTTGTAAAGCATTATGTGATGAAAATAAAATAAAATTGTATTGTTCATTAATATATCAGATAAGGAAAAATAAACCAAACGAAAAAAAGGATTAGGGTCCTTAATCTTTTAGGAGTGAAATTATTGAATAAAAAATTGGAAAAACTTTAACAGAGCTTTAGATTTCATGCTAAACATAGAAAATAACAAAGAGTTTTGTGCAATAGAATTTTTATCAAACAAACATTCTAAGCATACTCAAACAATTGAAATAGAGAAGCAAGAAGCTTTTATTGTCTCAGATCTCTTTCGGCTTAAGGAGGGTAAGTTCTTGATAATGTTCTTTCTCTTGTTCTCTGATTCACGAACATCATATTGGGTACTGAAAGATTAAATACCTATGAGAATCATTATGAAAAATTAATGTCTTTTTCTGGTTTTGGCTCATTTCTTAGAGTAGAAAAAGAATCATATCTAAAGAAAAACAAATAGTGTAGTAGTATTATTTTTACTTAAACATGTATATATATTGATCTTTATCAGATTTGAGATAAATTACTATATTAAGATTTAGTTTGGCATTTCACTGTAATGGAAATAAACAAGAAACTTAAGGTGTTCTTTTTATTAGCACAATCATGAATTCCGCATGAAGATTGAAAAAGAATATATTATATTAGTTTATACCAAGAACTCTAATGTACGGATTAGCAATACATGTAAAGTGCTAAATGAGAAAAAGATTCAAATAAAAATATAAGAACAAACATAGACCTATAGTTTCTATCCAATTAAGTACTACTAAATTGCTTAGCAGAGAATCAATTGTCCTATTTCATAGGAATGAAAACACGAAAATTAATTAAAGATGATAGGGATAGACCAATTATATTGGTACTTCACGAAGTTAATACATAGATTGATTTTGTTACAAATAGGTAGCTGAAGAAGTTGAACAAAGTGCTCGAGGTGACGTGTTTGGTATTCTTGCACGAGTACTGTGAGTAGTAATCTTACCACAATTTATGTTTTCATAACCTGCATGGTTTATATATGATTTTGAAAATAAATGTATTACCGATGCTTTGAAATTTCATGTGGGACAAGTCCTTTACTTGATATGGTACCGAACATTTTACTTGAGATGTTTACCGATTAATCTAAATATTTTTACTGTTACTAGATATGTTTTACCGTTACTTGAGATGTTATAGTCATTTGAATTATTCTCACTGTTATTAGACATGCTGTACTGTTACTTCAGACATAATTACTGTTAACGAAATAAAATTTCAAGATTTGATAAGAAATGATATGCCCTTTATTATTTTGAAAATGCTTTTGTACAAGTATTTACTGTTTACAAGAAAGAGTATAAATGTAAGGAGACTCTGAAGGATCTCTGTAATGACCCGGCCGGTCGTTTTGAGTATTACAACCTCATTCCCCTATTTACTGCTCAATTTATGCTTTATAATTATTTTATGACTTAGCGGGTTAGTTGGTTCGGGTCCGGAAGGAATTCGGAATGAAATGAGATACTTAGTCTCATAATTGAAAATTTAAGTTAAAAAAATTGACCGGATGTGGACCTATATATAAAAGACCTCGAATTTGAATTCTGATAATTCCAACAGCTCCGTATGGTGATTTTGGACTTGAGATCGTATCCGAAAAATTATTTGGAGGTCCGTAGTGGAATTAGGCTTGAAATGCCGAAAGTTAAATTTTTGGGAAGTTTGACGCGCGGGGGGAGGGGGGTGACTTTTTGATATCGGGGTCAAAATTCGATTCTGAAAATTTGAATACCTCTGTTATGTTATTTATGACTTGTGTGCAAAATTTGAGGTCAATCGGACGTGATTTGATAGGTTCCGGAGTCATTTATAGAAATTAGAAATTTCAAAGTTTATTAGGCTTGAATTGGGGTGTAATTCATGGTTTTAGCATTGTTTGAGGTGATTTGAGGGTTCGACTAAGTTCATATGATATTTTAGGATTTGATGCTATATTTGGTTGAGGTCCCGGGGGGCTCGGGTGAGGGGGAGGGGGATTAACATATCATTTTTGGCTTTGGTGAGATTGCTGATATCTGCTGCTGCCTTCCTCTGGTTTCCTTATACGCGATCGCATAGGTCAACCCGCGATCGCGTAAGCTTATTTGGGGCAGGGATATTTTTGTTCTATGCAGTCTCATAGGAAGGAACGTGATCGCGTATGTGTATTAAGCTATGCTTCGCGAATGCATGGATGAGGTCGCGTTCACGTAGAAGGATTTGAGCAGTGGATGAGGGGAGGAAATTACTCTACGCGATCGCGTGGGTCTGAACGCGTTCAGGTAGGTTTGAGAGGCAGTGTTCCGCGTTCGCGTGGGGTCAACCATGTTCGCAAAAGGCCAAATTTGGGGGCAGTCTCTTTTGTGCTTCGCGATCGGGTGACTTGGTCCGCGATCGCATAGAAGAGAGGTCTGGACAGAAAGTTTAAGTTTTGAATTTTCTATTTTTGACGGATTAGAGCTCGGAAAAAGGCGATTTTGGGGAGATTTTCAAGAAAAATAACGGGGTAAGTATTCTTAACTCAATATTGGTCAAATTAATCGAATCCATGATTGTTTTTAACATTTAATTGGTAAATTAAGTTAAAAATTGTGAAAACCCTCTTGGTTTAATTTGGACATTTGAGGGTCGAGTTTTTGTCGGATTTGAGTAAAATTTATATGGTTGGACTCGTTGTTAAATGGGCGTTCATATTTTATAACTTTTGTTGGGTTCCGAGATGTAGGCCCCACGGGCAATTTTTGAGCTAAATTTCAGATTTTTATGAAAATTAGTATTTTCTTATGGAATTAATTCCAATAAATTTTATTGACTGAAACGAATTATTTGTGACTAGATTCGAGGCTTTCAGAGACCAATTTTTGTGGCAAGGGAATAGCGGAAAAAATAATTACGCGGTTTGAGGTAAGTAACAGTTTTAAATCTGGTCCTGAGAGTATGAAACCCTAGAATTTTGTGTCATATGATTATTTTAGAGGAGACGTACATGCTAGGTGACGGGCGTGTGGGCATTCACCGAGGGAATTGTGACTTGATCCGTCTCGTGAAACTGTAAAGTTGAATAACTTGTTGTTAGCTATATGCTCTCTATGTGTTGAAGAAATTTGACTGCAAATCATGTTAGAAATCATGCTTAGACTATGTGATGGTACTGTTGGGACCCACATAGGGCATGCACATGTTGAACTATCTGCTTAATTTTTGTTTTGTACTCAGTCATAGTTTACTTGTTTATTTTATCTCAGTGTCTATTGTTCATTATTGATGCATCATATCATTGTTGTTTGGGCTGATTTCATGATTATTGAGAGCCCGAGAGACGGTAGAGATTTGTGACTGAGTGAGGCCGAGGGCCTGATTGTGAGATATTATATTATAGCACGTTAGTTGTCCGTTCGGGATATTATAACACGTGAGTTGTCCGTGCAACAAGTGATTTGGTCGTGCAGATCCAGATATTGATACTATAGCACGTGAGTTGGCCGTGCGGATCCAGATATTGATACTATAGCACGTGAGTTGGCCGTGCGGATCCAGATATTGATACTATGGCACATGAGTTGTCCGTACAACACGTGAGTTGGCCGTGCAGATTATAGCCCTTGGGTTGTAGGAGCCCCTCCGGAGTCTGTACACCCCCAGTGAGCGCGGCTACCCATTGAGTGTGAGTGCTAAGGGCCGAGAGCCGAGTGGTTGAGCTGTTGTGATGAGTTGAGTGACTGTTGTCTGAGAGGCTGTACTTGTTTTGCATTTGTTGTTGCACTCGGTTGCTATCTATCATTGTTGTGAAATCTCTGAAATATTTATATCCGGATTACATGAATTTGAACTTGTATAAAATTGATTTGACTTAAACTTCCGGATTTGAAAACATGTCTATTCTTTGTTGGAATTACTGAAAGTGAACTATAACTGTGTAGCTCGTCACTATCTTCAGTTCTTTATTTATTATTATTACTTGCTGAGTTGGTTCTATTCATACTGCACTCTGCACTTCGTGTACAGATCCAGATGTTCCCGGACATAACAGGTGTTGATTCTTTCGCACAACTGATTTTACGGAGATTCTGAGGTAGCTGCCGTGCTTCGCAGACCTTTCCTCTCTTTCCCTATCTCCTTGTTTACTCAGACTATTATGGACCGTATTTTCTAGAGTTGTAATCATATTAGATGCTCATGTACTCAATGACACCAGGTTTTGGGAGTGGTTGTATCGGTATTTGTAGGATTTGTGGATTGTATTTAAATATTATATTTTCAAACTTAAAGAAAAATTATAGTTTATTGAGATTGTCGGCTTGCTTTAGGTGACAAAGGTCTCACAAGTCATGAGCAGGTCTAGTAGAGTCTTGCAGATCGGTACAGAGACGTCTGTACTTATCTTTGAGAGGTTGCAGAATCCTTAGAAAAATTTTAATTTCTTGTATTCTTTTGTGCGAAATTGTTGATTCCGGAAACTAAGTTTCTGTTATTCTCTTATCTCACAGGTGGTGAGGACATGTACTACCGGATCGGACGGCCAGCCACGAGTGCCACCAGTTAGGGCCGCGAGAGGCCGGGGCCGTAGTAGAGGCCGGGGCGAGGTAGAGGTCGAGGTGTAGCTCGTACCACAGTTGGGCCAGCACCTGTAATACCACCAGTTGCTCCAGCTCAGGAGAAGATTCTAGATATAGCTGAGCCGACAGGACTAGCTCAGGCACCAACTATGCCTATTGAAATTCCAGGCCTTCAGAGACTTTGGCCCAAATATTGGCAGCTTGCACTGGTCTTGCTCAGGTGGTTTCGGCTCAGGCCGCACCTGTCACTTCTCAGGCCAGGGGAGGTACTCATACCCATGTTGTCCGTACTCCAGAATAGGTAGTACAGGGACTTCACATACCGGGGGCACTACCAGCCCAGCCGGCTGCAACTGCTCAGGCCCCGGTAGTTCCTGTTATGGCAGATGATAAGCAGAGGAGACTTGAGAAATTTGAGAGGCTTCGACCTCTACCATTTAGCGCTACTGAGTCAGAGGATGCTAAGGGCTTTCTGGATAGGTGTCAGCGGATGCTTCGGACAACGGGTATTCTGGAGACCAGTGGGGTCTCGTTCACTACTTTTCAGTTTTCTAGGGCTGCATTCAGATGGCGGGAAGCTTATGAGAGGCGCAGGCCAGTTGGTGCAGTACCACTTACATGGAAAGAATTCTCCGTTCTATTTTTGGAGAAGTTCGTGCCGCAGTCTTGTAGAGAGGAGCTGCGCAGACAGCTTGAGTAGTTACGTCAGGATGGCATATCTGTGACGCAGTATGAGATGAGATTTTCTGAGTTGGCTCGTAACGCAGTCTGGTTGGTTCCCACTGATAGGGAGAGGATTAGGAGGTTCATTGATGGCAGTGGAAATGTGTGCTTCGCGATTGCGTGACTTGGTCCGCGATCGCATAGAAGAGAGGTATAGACAGAAAGTTTAAGTTCTGAAAATGGGACTTTCGTCCCATTTTCTATTTTTGAAGGATTGGAGCTCAGGAAGAGGCGATTTTTGGGAGGTTTTCAAGAAAAATAATGGGGTAAGTGTTCTTAACTCAATATTGATCAAATTACCCGAATCTATAATTATTTTTAATATTTAGTTGGTAAATTAAGTCGAAACATTGTGAAAACCTTCTTGGTTTAATTTGGAGATTTGAGGGTCGAATTGATATCGGATTTGAGTAAAATTTATATGGTTGGACTCGTGGTTGAATGAGCGTTTATATTTTGTAACTTTTGTCGGATTCCGAGATGTGGGCCCTACATGCGATGTTTGAGCTAAAATTCAGATTTTTATGGAAAATTAGTATTTCTTATGGAATTAATTCCAATAAATTTTATTGACTGAAATATATTATTTGTGACTAGATTTGAGGCTTTCGGAGATAAATTCTCATGGCAAGGGCATAGCGGAATAAAGAATTACGCGGTTTGAGGTAAGTAACAGTTTTAAATCTGGTCTTGAGGGTATGAAACCCCGAAATTTTATGTCATGTGACCTACAGTTATATTTGACTCCTTTTACGAAGGAGTCCACAGAGTGATATAGATTACATGATCCTTTCTTGGAAACCTCCCAAACATAAAGATTTGCTATGAGACAGTACGTACCGAATTGTTAAATTGATTTATGTTACAGGAAATACATGATGAGACTGATTATTGTTTATTGTTTCTCAAATGACATTCTTAAGATATTTTCTGTATAATATACTAGCATGTTTTCTGACTTGTCCCTAATTAAAAACAGTTGTGGTTAAGTGTTATTACTCACTGAGCTAGCGACTCACTCCCTGCTATTATTTTTACAGAGGCAGCAATAGGCGCATGCGAGTATTCCGTTAATTAGAGTACACGAGTTGACAGTTTCTGGTGAGCCTTGCATTTATTCGCGTGGGAAAGGATTGTTATTTATGTGTTATAGTCTCTTTCTTGATACTCTTAGAGGCACTCCATAGTCATTTTTATGAGTATCACGTGTATTCTTTTATTGATATAGACTTGTGACTCGTATTAGACTTTTTCGATCGTATTTTTGGAGATGGAGTTAGTATTATTGTGTTAGGAGTACTTCGTTGATGAAGATTATAACTTGTTTGGTGGATATTGGTTGGTTGTGTTGTTAATTTCTAAGACATGTTTATTTTTGGACAGTCCTAAAATAGGGAAAACTGCGTCCGATTTTCTGTAAAATAGCATTGAGGCTTACTTGGGAGTACTTGCTCCTAAGCGCCGGCCATGATCCTAAATTGGGTCATGATAATTTTATCCTCAATCTAACACTTTTCGGCGCAAAATTGAATTTAATCGGATTTTAATACGTATACCGAATATTCGGTGAGAAACCAAAAAAACTAACATGTCCAAACTTTATTGATGCCTAAATCTTTCTCAATATGGTCAAAGATTTCTCACCTTTTCCAACTTTTTCTATTGGAAAAAAGAGAGAGTAGAAGACAAAGAATTAATCTCTCATAAAACATTAATATGTCTCGATTCTAAACAAGTTAAGTAGTAGTAACTCTTATCCATAATAAATTATTATTTACCAAATTAAATTTATTTCATACTAATATTATGCAAGCTTATTTTTGATTTCTACTTACGGTCCATAATATCGATAAATTCATTTTTCTACTATTATATTGAGTTGAGTAATAGTAGTTTAGTTTCCGAGAGTGTATAGTCAAAAGTTTGCACGTGGAAGATTTAAGTCCAAATTAAGTACATTATTAGAAGTAGGTCACAAGTAGTAGTCGTACTTGGAGTAAATGAATTGTCGTTAGTTAATCAACAATTACAATAGTGGGTGTTAATAGATATTTAAAAATCGACTAAATCGACTAAATTGTACCGTATCAAATCAATTTTAGATTTATTTTAATAAAATCGTAGGTTTTTATATAAATCTATAACCGTACTGATAATTAGGGTAGATTTTTTATTTTATAAAAATAAACCGAAAAAACCCGAATCGTACCGAATAAATTTACAATGTGAAAAATATATTTATATATTATGTTTAGAAATAATAAATTATTAAATTTTTTCTCGGGCCTATGAAACAGTTACAAGCCAACAAGTAATTAAACTCAAAATCCTAATTCCCAAACCTATTATGCTACTCCTATTGAAACTAAATTATTTCCACCATATTCGCTAGCAAGACACAAGGTATATTGTAGCGATCATGAATAGCAAACTACAATGTATTGAATATGTTTCCTTTCGTATGATTTATGTAAGTCCCCGTTAAAATTTTTCTAATGATTTAAGATTTTAAAGTGTGCCAACGGTATTTGTGAATAACGTATTCGAGTATTAAAGAAGACCCATGGGATAGAACCACATCATTATGAAATGAAAATATATATTTAAGGTGTATTGGAACATACT